CAAGGGTACAGAGCAGGAGTGAGGGCATGTTGGTGTGTGCATGAGCATGGACCTGAGGGACACACACTCACACGCTCGCACCCACACAGGGCCCTCGATCACGGCACCCACGCTTCCCTGGACTTCACCTTCCAGCCTGGATCCTCCAGGTTCAGGACCTGAGGCAGCTCAAGTTCAGCAAGAGTTTGCAATTTGCCCAAGGTGTGTTGAATAGTTTTCTCTTAACCCATTTGTGGGGGTGTAATCTGATTTAAAACCAATGGAATAAGCACTTTCTAGAAAGTCCATTTAGACATTTGGATCAAAATTTAAGTGAATTAGCTTTGGGCCAGGAGTTCCATTTCTGTGAATGTGTCCTAAGTAAACAGTCAAATAAGCAATTATGTTCTCTGTAGTTGTTGATGCCAGGGGAAACCGGAAACAATCTGCCCCACAATAAAGGGTTAGTGAGGTAAACCATGTAATGTCAAACAGTCAGGCATAACACCATAGCCATTAAAAATTAGGTCTGTACATCCAATTCGTTGACATGAGAAGACGAATGAAAAGAAGGCCGTAGCCAAATATTAAATGGAGGCCAGGGGAAGCTCAGAAGAGTGCACGTATATTGATATGTATGTATATTTTATATGTCAGGGAAATGGTAGTTTTAAAAACAGTGATTCTTCCTGAGTTCCACAATTGTGAGTGTTAGCAAATTGTTTCAGGTGTGACAGGTGTCCCTTGGTGTCCCATACACACAGACATCCCTGCCTGTGGGACAGCCTGAACCTTTGCTGCACCTGCCCCTCTCTGCTGTGGCAACAGCCAATCAGACATTCCCTTTCATAGGGCTGGTTTCCTTTTCTCCTTTGCCCAAACCACGCCTTTACAACAAAAGAATATTAACCAAGCAATCCTAACAACAAGTTTGTTGCCAACTGCAACTTATGCCCTTTTACAGAAAGCAGATGTTGCTTTCAAGCCTACCAGGTTGTAATTCAAAACTATCATTTATCTGCAACTTGACCATTTTTTATTTGCTTAAAATATTCTGGAGTATTTTAAATACATATAGAAAAGTAGAGAATAATATGACAATTACTTATCTATACTAATAAAAGGGTAATATGTTCATTAGATCAGACAGCTTCTGGACATCCTTCTGGAAAAATCCATGGTGGTGGGGGCCGAGCAGAGGCAGTAGGGGCAACCAGGCCAGCAGGGGAGTGCCCCAGTGGGGACCACCACCACAATCGGGGGTGTGGCCAGCCTGCAAACCATTGGCAGCCCTTTGCCCAGACAGAGGTGGCACTGGGGACTGGGTGTGGGCTGCGCAAATCTTTTAAAAATAAAGAAAGACCCACTGGCACTCCGAGGCGCCTCCTGGCACTGGCTGCCCCGCCCCCACTCCCTCCCCAAAAGGAGCCCCAGGCTGAGCCTCAGGCAGAGCGGTTCAGATGGGTGTGGGCCATGTGGCCCCAGGTCCAAGGCCCCATGTGGGTGGAGAGATTCGCACCACAGTCATTGTAGTGACTCTGTTTAATTCTGCTGGGAAGACTGGCAGGGCTCCCATGTGTTTGGGGGCAGCCTGTTTATGCTGGGACCCAGGTGTGCGGCTGCACACACGCAGGGGGCATGTGCTGGGAGTGCAGCGCAGGCATCATATGAACATTTGTGCATGAAAAGGTGTGCACACACCTTTGTGTGCATAAATACCTGTTTCTTAGAAGCGTACCTGGAAAGGTGCTTTATCTGTAATAGGCAGTTTTCAAAATGTAATCCAGAGCAAGGGATCTGTAGCAAAAACACACACACAAGAAAAGGTTT